CTGTGTGAGTGTGTGTGTGTGTGTGTGTGTGTGTGTGTGTGTGTGTTGTGTGTGTGTGTGTGTGCAAGTGTGTGTGAAGGTGTATGTGTGTGTGTGTGGGTGTGTGTTGTGTGTGTATGAGTGTGTGTGGGTGGTGGGATATGTGTGTGTTGTGCGTGTATGAGTGTGTGTTGTGTGTGTATGAGTGTGTGTGGGTGGGGGATATGTGTGTGTGTGTGTGTGTGTGTGTGTGTGTGTGTGTGTGTGTGTGTGTGTGTGTGTGTGTGTGTGTTGTGCATTTTGTGCTTTGGCGGCTACCTACGATCCAGTAATATTTAATCTTTACAAACGTTTTTGAAAGAGATTTACAGTCTTTGGAACATGATACGGTCTAAAAAGTTCTGCGAGGTGCTACTTGAGAATAATAACATAAAAAGAAGGCGGGGAGATAAAGACGTCAGACGTTTGATAGGAAAGAAGGAGCAGACCAAACCACAGCACCCACCAACCAACCACGAAAGTTTTTGCAGCTACGTAAAGCTGCCACGCTTTTAGCATTATATAAACAAAATGAACAAATATGAATCATATCAGCAGCTCAGTTCTTGAAAAACTAAGTACATAGGCACATTCTGCTGATAACTGAGAAAACTTTAACGATTACATTGTATTTGGTTGTTTGCTTTTCTGATCTGCTGGCTTTATTATTTGATCAATGGATTGTATTACACTCCCGGGACATTCAAAATTACTCTACCATGGATGTCTCGATGGGTTTTGTATATAAGTTTTAAGAAAACGAGTTTACTTATTATTGTTTGTACCGCATTTGCATACCCATGACTTACTAATAGCTCCTTTGTCCTCACCGAATTACCTTGCCAGTCCTTTGGGACACATTCGTTTTTGTTTGTGGGTTGTTGGCGGATGCTCTGGTGTACTTTGCTGCCCTTTTCCGAGCAAACATCTATCGTCATTATCTTTCCTCCTTTCTGTGTTTGTTACTCTTATATGGCACCTCTAATCTTTAACTGCTGTATTACCTTATTGAGTAGCAAGTGTTGTAAAACTCTCACCAAAACTAGAACATGATTACAGTCACATGTTGGGTGTATTCAGTTTCTCTCCAAATAACCCTCTTCAACAGATGAGGGTATATATAATGGAAGAAAAATCGACACTAGGTCTATATCTGAATCAGAAAAAAATTGTTTTTAAAGTGAAAGAAGATTTGTGTGCAATACATTGTTGGAGGATTTTATAAAGTGGTACAAATGAAAATGTGGGAAACATCAATCCGCGAGGTCTTACGGAGATGTTGGGACAGGAAGCTCGAAGCAGTCACCGTATTGTAGCATGACAAGTACGCTCTTCATCCACGTCAAACGAATCAGGTCTAAATTCAAAGTTCTTAATGTTTTATAAAACGAAAATTGACCTCACTTGTATGAATACCATCGCCCTTTCCCACTACTCACCGGTCAAGTCTCTAATTTTCGGTATTTATACGACCTAATTGTGTTGCAAGTGCAGTAAAATGTTTACTAAAACTAAACTGCACTAAAGAAATGCGGGAAGTTTGTTTTATTGAGTAAAACGATGCACATTGACACATATATTGTATTGGTTATTTAGTGCTGGTAGAATGCAAAAAAAAAAAAGACAGAAGGCACAAACAACACAGGGCAAGTAAAAAAGAGAAGAAGTTGTCAGTGGTGTTCTCCAACCAATGCAGGGTGAGTGTCTGTGTATGTGAGAGAGAGAGAGAGAGTGAGTGGGAGAGAGAGAGAGAGACAGAGCGAGAGAGAGAGAGAGAGCGAAAGAGAGAGAGAGAGAG